TGACGCGCCTTCCTCTTGGCACGTTTCTTTCTTTCACGCTCCATTTGTGCAAATTCTACAGCTAGTCACAGCTGACCTCCAGCTAGAGCACTCAAGAGCCAGGGCTTCCCAGTTCTCTGTGTAGCTATACATTGGCCATGGTGGTTTTCAAATGTTGCCATCAGCGCTGCCTCCGAAAAATCCTGCAAATCTCTTGAGAAGACAAGCAGACAAATGTCAGAGTGCTGCAAGAAGCAAAGACCACCAGCACTGAAGCAATGGTCCTCTGCCATCAACTCCGCTGGACTGGCCAAATTGTCTGGATGCCTGACCACCGTCTCCCAAAGCAATTGCGCTATTCCGAACTCAAGAACGGAAAACGGAATGAGATTTAAAGATGGGCTCAAAGCCAACCTTCAAAACTCTGGCATAGACACTGAGAACGGAGAAGCCCTGGCCCCTGAGCAGTCCAGCTGGAGGTCAGCTGTGACCAGCAGTGCTGCAGAATTTGATGAGGCACGAATAGAGGGCGAAAGAGAGAAATGTGCCAAGAGGAAGGCGCGTCAAGCCAACCCCGACCAGGACCACCTTCCACCTGGAAACCGATGCCCTCACTGCGGGAGAAGATGCAGATCAAGAATAGGGCTACACAGTCACCTACGGACCTACCGCCAGAACACCGACGTTGGAGGACCATCATCCTCAGACTATGAGGGATTGCCTAAGTGAAGTGAAGTTTCAAATGTTGGCCCTCTATGTCCAAGAATCCTTTTCCAAACAAAAGAGTCCCTCTCTCAAACAAACAAATTGGGCCACAAAGTTAGAGAATTGTTGAATTAGTGTTTAGTGTTTTATACTGAATAGGATCTCTATTTGGTCCTCGTCTTTGGTAATGCTGCCTTGCATTTGTGGATCAGATTAATGCTTAGCCAACAGCACCTACATTATGTCTCCCACAGGATCCCAACCAGTTGGGATGGACTCTCTTTAGCCGTGAAATCAGTCCACAAAATCCAACCAAAGCTAAGGGTCACCATAACAACAACAACAAAACTTTATTTATGTACCATTCTATCTCCCCAAGGAGGCTCAGATCAGTTTCCAAGTAAAATAATCAATACATACAAAGAAAACGGCATAAACATAAAATTAATAAGACAATATAAGCATTAAAAACCACAATAGCACATATATTTAAAATAATCCTGCCTGTTCAAAGCAGTTTAAAAGCCTGGGCTAGTGCAATTTTAGAGGGCCCGGGAAATTAGGTAGAGTCTATGGCTGTACATTTCCAGGGCCTAATAGAAGAAAGGGACCTGGGTAATTGGTAGAAAAAGATATGGCCAATTTAATCAATATGGGGCAGAGCTAGAACTAGTCGTTCTCAAAGTTTTGCTTAAACCACCAGGACTTCAGGCTCTTACGAAAGGAGGGGAGGGATGGGGCCTGTCTTATTTCTCCAGGAAGGGTGTTCCAGAGGCGGGGAGCCACCACCGAGAAGGCCCTCTCTCTCATCCTCACTAACAGTGCTTGTGACAGTGGTGGGAGCGAAAGGAGGGCCTCCCTGGAAGATCTTAAAGTTCACACTGGTTCATAGAGGGAGATGTGATCGCGATGATAGGCGGGACCCGAACCATAAGTTGCCATATAGGGTTGTTGTAGGTTTTTCAGGCTATATGGCCATGTTCTAGAAGCATTCTCTCCTGACGTTTCACCTGCATCTGTGGCAAGCATCCTCTGAGGATGCTTGCCATAGATGCAAGCGAAATGTCAGGAGAGAATGCTTCTAGAACATGGCCATATAGCCCAAAAAACCTACAACAAGCCAATGATTCCAGCCATGAAAGCCTTTGACAATACATAAGTTGCCATATAACTCAACAATGTGATTTTGGTTGTCCAAAATTGTTTCTGCAACCAACTCAAGTGCATCCATTTTGCCTGCAGTTTTGTTTCAGCAAACAGAACATCTTGTTCTTGGTTATTCTTGAAGCTTTGAACTTGCTGTGTAGATCAGCCAAAGAGTCCTCCTCCTTTTCTTGCTTCCACCCCCACTTTGCCGAGATTTCACAGCCAGCTGTGATGTCGTGATAATTATCAGTGTGGGGTTTTTTTCCCAGTCAAATCCCATTCTCTGGAACACCGAGCTTGCAAATGCCTTGGGAGGAAGAGTGAAGGTTGACGGACCTTCTACGACGTGATGAATTCTTTCTCAAATGCATACACATTTTCATACACAACCACTGAAGTAGGAACATGGCAGCCAGAAGTGTAAGTGCACCATTGTCAGGATATATAAGCATTTATTTTCATTGTATGGTTTTCAGTGCAAAGCATTGCTGCCCAAATTGTGACCAAGAGGTAAAAAATGAATTTCTGCTGGTCTAACCCACATCAAACTTGTTTCTTGCACATTGTTGTGATCCATGCTGGATTTGCCTCAGCCATTTGTTAATTCTTGGGATTGCCGGTGTTTGGTATCAACACAATTTCCTTGTGCTGCCATTGGGCGAAACCTGGCCCCAGCCACTCCTGATGTATTCCAATCAGTTCCCTTATTTATTTATCTCTGTTTTCCATTTTGTGCAATTTTATGTTAACAGGAGCATTGTTTTCTCTACTGTTGTAGTGTGGCTGGTCCAGAAGAAGTTCTAAATGGGTTCTGTCATCCCCAAACTGGGTTCCTCTTCCGCCTTGATCCTGAGCAGGATGAATGTAGACCCCAGATTTTCTTAGTGTTAAGGAAACCCTAGCCATTCCATAATTTGTGTCTCTTGCGTCTTAAAACAGCCTCTATTTTTGAATATTGCAAAATCAGAAAAAGGTACCAAAATGTTCACCTTGCCTAAACTGCTCTTGGGGAATCTGAGCTGTTAGGCTCAAAAATGTCATGTATCATGTCCCATAGTTGATGGTGGTTGGTGGTGCAGACCTGGCAGTTGGCGATGGAAGGGTTAATGTAAGTCTTGGTTCTAAAGGGTTGAGTAGTTTGTAAGTAACAGTTTACAGGTAAAAGCAATTAAGGGTGGAGGCATGCAGGGGATAGGTTGCAGCTAGGTGTTACTGGATTTAAGGAGCTAACCTTGGGACTGATCTTTGGGAGAAAAGTATTTTGTCATGTTGCCAGGGCTCTGCCGTTATTTCAGGCAGAGGTGAATCAAACAAACACCCAGTTTGTGTTAAACAATTTAATTAAAATAGCACTTACTTTCTGGCTGTTTCAATAGTCCAAAACATAAAACATAAAGATAACACTCAGCCACAGAGTAAACAAACTAATAGCAAATGCCACACCATAGTCAAAGGGTCCAGTCTAGTGGTCAAACACCAAGAGTTCAATTAACAAGGTCCAGGGATCAAAAGTCTATACTGTAGTTAAAAACCAGTCAGAGGTTCAAGGTTCCAGGGGTCCAAGATTGCAGGAGACAGGTCAGGATACCGAAAATCCAACAAAACTGGGGGGAAACCAGCAGCATCTACCACCAAAACAAGACAAATACTTTTCTCCCAAGGTTAGCTCCTTAAATCCAGTAACACCTAGCTGCAACCTATCCCCTGCATGCCTCCACCCTTAATTGCTATTACCTGTAAACTGTTACTTACAAATTACTCAGCCCTTTAGAACCAAGACTTACATTAACCCTTCCATCACCAACTGCCAGGTCTGCCACCACCAACCACCATCAACTATGGGACATTATACATGACAAAAAAACAACCCTCGGTTGGGGTGATTACACCATAAATATAGCAGAGTACCAGAGTACCATAACCAGCAGAAACTTATTTGTGGTAAGCTAGGATAAGCTTTCCCTTCATAGGATGGCACAAGATTGCAGAGTCAGAAGTTTAGGTTCAAAAGAATTTATAAAAGTAAAAGAAATACATTCTTGATAGAAAAGGTCTTAGAGCTCATTTGCTTACTAAATCTCATGTTCTCAGAAAGGTAAAAGGGTAAATCCATGCAGCTACATTTTGCCTAAAGAGAGAGGCAAAATGCGTCTTCGCTGAAAGGAAGAAAAAGCAGAAGAGACCGGAAAATGGTGAATGGCCACATGGCCAAGCCCAAGGCAATAAAAATACCTTTAAAAAGGAGATTCCCTAACAGATATTCCATTGCTACATCTTCAAAGGGGGAGGAGATAGTGGCAAAGAGGAAGAGTAAAAACAAAGCCCTTCCTGGGAGAGCATGCATAGGAATGTGGAGAGAGAAATCCCTCACTCTAATCCTATCTCTAGTCTATCTACTCATCGAGGACTGGAAATTTGATAACGCAAGAGACTTGTGCAGTCCAGGGATTTATTTATTTATTTATCGTGTCAGGAGCGAACCAAAACAGTTGTAAACAGACAAACAAACAAACAAAACACAAAATTTGCAGGCTTGGTGTTCTATTAAATGTCCTTTGACCAGTAGCTGGCCATTTGGAGTGCCTCTGGTGTTGCTGCAAGAAGGTCCTCCATTGTGCATGTGGCAGAGCTCAGGTTGCATTGCAGTAGGTGGTCTGTGGGTGAAACCCAACAAATGCCATTTGGCTCATCACTGCCAGCAGGTTAAATATCATCATTCACTTTGTATTCTTCCTTCTGGCAGCAAGTACAGGGGTGGGAATCCTACCAGATGTTGCTGAATTGCAGCTCCCATTATTCCAGGGATTATGCAAACCCAAGAAAGTGGATTTCAGCCACATTTGGAGGACCCCATGACTCCCAACTCTGATTCAGTATGTGGCTCCAAGGCATTGTTGCATCAACCTTATTTACTGTGTGAATCTGGGTTGGATAGGATCGGTCACATATCTAGGAGAGAGCAGTCCTTTTCTTACACATGGAAGAAAGAGTCTTTTTGCAAACTTCGCCCACCAAAGTTCCACTCCTTCTGAACCAGCTGGCATGGAAAGTGGTGCTCCGTGTCCATTTTATTTCAATTTTATTTTTGCATTTGAGATTTGTATTCCTCCCTCCCTCCCTCCCCATTTGTGTTCCATTCTGTTGTCCTCATGGTTCTGTTTGTTCCCCAGTTACTCAGCACATTAAAGAACTCCTGGAAATGAACAGTAAGAAGAAGTCCAAAGTGAGAAAGAAACCCAAGCCCTATATCGAAGAACACGATGGTAGGGTGCCACGGGCGGGCGCTCCCTGAGCCCCTCCCTCTCTCCTTAGACATAGATGCCAACTCTGCTTTGTTTCCTCTGCAGCTTCTTTAGCCTCCACTTTTTCTTCTTAACATCAGCTTCACGCTTCTCTCTTTGACCCTTTTTAATGGCTAATTTCGGACGTGCCTCTTCAGCAGCCAAGCTCGGGTTGACCGCTGCCCATTGTGCTTCCATCAGCAGGTCTCTGGCCGTGCGTTGGCCTCGAAGGGGCTGGTTTGGCTTGGGACCCAAGGATTGCGGAGGTGGGTGGGTGGGTAGGAGGGTGGGTGGGCGGTCAACCACTTGGCAACCTCATGCGACCACACAGCTGCATGGGCAGCGATGCACATGAAACAGAGCCATGCTGGCACAAACACGGCTGGCCGCTCTCTCACCCCGAGAGGCGGTTGGGCACCTGTTTGCTCGTCACTCATTTCTGACTAATGGGCCGCACATGAGCAGGGCTGTCAGGAGCTTGTTCGCATGCAAGGCAGCTGCGTTGCATTTTGATGTGGAAGGATGGCTCACCGTCCAGGCCTAGTTGCTGTCGTGTTAATATTATATTGGTTCTCTAAACCAAATGCTTACAATGGCAGGTGACAGCAATGAGGTGACAGTGATAATGATGATGGTGTTGTTGTTGTTGTGGTTGTCATCTTCATTCAAAATCAGCTAATAATACTTAACTTTAATGTTCAAGGTGTTTTTATGTTGTTGTTCTGTCGCGCGCTGGGCCTGTAAATAATTGCCTTTAAATTGGACGGGTAACTTGAGCCCAGCGGGCAACCAGGGGCCCCTGAAGAGAAGTTCTCAGAGGTTTTCCACCACAAATGATCTTTAGATGGCTTGTGAAGTGTAACAAAGTCCTTTATTAATGAACAATCAAACAGAAACTTCTCTTGTCTTCAGAAAGTTAAACAAATGATTCCAGGCTTTTATGCAACTGGTGGCTTCCTAATCTTGTCCACGAAGGACAGGCAATTGCCCTCAATAACTCATTCTTTGCTTTAAAGGAAAATCCCCTTTTTTAAACTTCTCCCAGGCTGACTGTAATTGCTGGCCACTTGGAGTGCCTCTGGTGTTACTATAAGAAGGTCTTCCATTGTGCATGTAGCAGGGCTCAGGTTGCATCGCAGCAGATGGTCTGTTGCTCTTCACACTTGCATGTCGTGGATTCCACTTTGTAGCCCCATTTCTTAAGGTCGGCTCTGCATCTCGTGGTGCCAGAGCGCAGTTTGTTCAGCGCCTTCCAAATCACCCAGTTTTCTGTGTGCCCGGGGGGGGAGTCTCTCATTTGATATAAGCTATTGATTGAGGTTCTGGGTTTGAGGCTGCCACTTTTGGATTCTCGCTTGCTGAGGTGTTCCAGCAAGTGTCTCTGTAGATCTTAGAAATAGCACACCAGTGATGGAGTGACAGAGGAGGAGAGGTTGGTTTCGAAGAAATCATGGCTGGCACAAGAGAAACTGGAAACGGTTCAATGTGAGAACCAGTATGTGTTGTCCTCTTTGTCTTATCCTGGATTGTGTTGGAGAAGAATGTTTATCTCCAATTGGAAGCATCCAAAACATTTGGACTCCCCTGATCCTGCAGTTGGTAGAGCTGCCGTTGAGAAGTGAGCTTCCAGCCGCTTTGCAACGACATCAAGAGATAAGAGTGAGATATAAATAAATATACTATAATAATAACAACCTGTCACCTGCAGGCCACGTGTGGCTCTCACAGCTCCCACTGGTGCATTCTAAAGCAAACCCATGGATAAATGTCGACTGATGTGCTGTCTTGCGTTGCGCTGCCTCCTTCCCGCCAGCAGCTTTGGTGCACCTGTTTGAAGGAGGCTCCCGAATTTATTTCAAGCACGCTCATTGATTGTGGCGTATTTAACTGCCACTGGTTAATGGGGCTTGCAGGTGTGTCGCCTAATTCAAATCCCACTCTTTATGTGTGTCTGTGTATTCAAAAATAGTTGTGCATTGAAGGTAGGGGAGGAATCACAATGAAGACTACCTTGGGAATGCTTTTGTGGATGTTTTAAATGCCGTTGCTTCCTTTGGGGTCTTTCTAAGGAATCATTATAGCTTTAAAGCATCTCATCAACTTTTTAACACTTAGTTAAACTGAGCTGGATGTGTCCTCGAATGACAAAGTGCAGAAGGGTTGGTGTCTGATTGAAGAGAGAGACAGTTGTGGACAAAACCCTGTGAAGTGTGATTTCATGATTTTTCAAAGCTAAAGCAAAGTTGTTTGTTGATCAAGCTGGGTCTAAGAGCCCTTTCACACAATTACATTATTGCAGTCTCATTCCACTTTAAACTGCCATGGCAACACCCTCAGTACCTCTGAGAATGCTTGCCATAGATGCAGGCGAAACGTCAGGAGAAAATGCCTCTAGAACATGGCCATATAGCCCGGAAAAACCTACAACAACCCATCCTATAGAATCCTAGGATTTTTAATTTGGAAACTAGACAGGATCCTGCGGTAATAGTAAAGTTGCTGTCATGTATCATGTTCTGCAATTGTTGGTGGTAGACCTAGCAGTTGGTGATGGAAGGGTTAATGTAAATCTTAGTTCCAAAGGGTTGAGTAATCCATATGTAAAAGTTCGTGGGTTAAAGTAATTAAGGGTGGAGGTATGCAAGAGATAGGCTGCAGCTGGGTGTTTCTGGATATAAGGAGCTAGCCTTGGGATTCATCTTCAGGAGAAAAGTATTTGTCTTATCTTGGTGGTGGATGCTGCTGGTTTCCCCCCAGGTTTGTGGATTTTCGGTCTCTTGACCTGTCTCCTGTACTCCTGGAATCCTGAAACCGTGAATCTCTGGACTGGCTTCTGACTACGGTATAGACTCTTGATCCCTGGACTTGCTCATTGAACTCTCGGCGTTTGACCACTGGACTGGACCTTTTGACTATGGTGTTATCTTGAACCTGCAACAGTGTTTGCTGTCAGTTTTTGTTTATTCTGTGGCTGAATGCTATCTTTATGTTTTATATTTTGGACTATTAAAACAGCCAGTAAGTAAGTAAGTGCTGTTTTAATTAAATTGTTTAACACAAACTGGGAGTTTGGTTCATCTCTGCCTAAATATTGGCAGAGCCCTGGCAACATGACAGTTGCATCTTCCTCTTGGGGATGAGAGAGCAGTATACTGGAAGCCTGTGCTTTTCCATATCTTGGCTCAGTCTTTAATCAAAATGGAGGCTGCAGTCAAGAAGTCAGAATAAGGCTATATAATAAATAATAAAAAGCTTTTTTATATTCCACCCTCTCTCCCTGAGGGGACTCAGAAAGGCAGCTATGGAGGAACTAAACAAGATCTTGAAGTATCATTAAGTACTAAAGTTAGGATAGCTCATACCATCTTGTTTCCCATTTCCATAAATGATTGTGATGAAATGTCTGGATAGGAAGAAAATCAGCTTCCCTGAGATGTGCTGGAGAAGAGTTCTGCAGATACTGAAGGTTGCTAAAAAGACAAATCAATGGGTCCTGGAACTCTCTGTTGAAGTCAGAATGATTAGACTGAGCTTATCATACTTTGGCCATATCATCAGAAAAGATAAGAAGGCTTGTTAAGGTAGGAACCAAGAGGAAAACTACATTCCAGATGGATAGACTTAACCAAGGAAGTTACACCAACTGCAGGACCTGAGCTGAACTGCTGATAACAAGGACACTTGGAAGATTTCTAATTCACGGGGTAAATCAAAGTCGATTTGATGATGGATAACAACAGTAAAATTCCTCCCAGTTCCTTCTATCTGGGAAAAGCGTGGGAGGAGGAGTGCAAAGGGACACATAGTAGAGATTGGTTCAACACCAGAGACACCTGCGAGGCGTAATTGGACAGGCACCACTTCTAATTTTAGACGTTTCGCAGGACTCCCACTTTATGCTTTTGGAAATCCTTCCAGACAAGTGCAGAGAAGTGGAAACCTCACTTCCTTGTTGTGTCGCCTCCGCTCCGATGTCGCAACTGCCAGCAGAAATACAACCTGTTCTTGTTATTTATAGACTTCCTTCCCTTTAAATAGAATACATCAAACTCTGTTGACTGTGTTGTGTTGTCCAGAGAATGGGGTTTAGGTTATGATCGATGTTCATTAAGTGTTACCAAGCCATGGATGTACCTGAGCATTTCCATACCGGCAACTTGTGAGAAGCATGCAGCCCACTTGGTCAGTTTGCTGGATCCCACTACCTTTCAGAGATTTGTTTTGAATATCCCAGGGAAAATAAATAGTAAAAGAAGGTAAAAGTGAGTTCTTTTTTCAGCTTCTCGACCATTTTTTTCTTGAGAGCTGCAGGGAACAGGAGATTTCCCCTATTTTACAAGAGGCACGTCTGTTGGCGTTTAGTAACTCAGTCTTTCTTTTTCAGAGACAAAATAATTCCATATATTTCTGCATAAAAGAGATGTCATTGCACTACAAAATCTCTGGAAAATGTCCTACATTTCTCCAGCAAATGCCTATGGCTACACCACAAGTTGGTTGTTTTGGACAATGGTCCTAGAGGCAAAGAATCATAGGGTTAGAAGGAACCACAAGGGCATGACGCACAGGGAAAACAGTCCCAAGACATATCCACCCAGCCTCTATTTCGTGCACCACCTTCCTGGCTAGCCCTTTCCATTGTTACTCTTAAAACCAGGTTATTCTTCCTGATGTTTAGGGGGGATCTATGTTTCTATGTTTCTATCATAAGGAAGGCTGAGCAAAGGAAGATAGATGCTTTTGAAGTGTAGTGCTGGAGGAAAGTTCTGAGAGTGTCTTGGACTGCGAGAAGATCCAATCAGTCCATACTCCAGGAAAGAAAGACCGACTGCTCATTGGAGGGAAGGATATTAGAGACAAAGTTGAAGTACTTTGGCCACATCATGAGGAGACAGGAAAGCTTAGAGAAGAGAATTATGCTGGGGAAAATGGAAGGAAAAAGGAAGAGGGGCCAACCAAGGGCAAGATGGATGGATGGCATC